GCAAAGACCGGCTGGGTAAAGTGACCGGGAACAGATGGCATATACTTCACTTGCTATCTTCAGTGTGTGCAAGAATACGATTTCCCACATGAGTTAATCGTATGTATTCATAGGTGGGAATTATGATTAGTTTCATTTGACTATTAAAGAAATTAAGACTCAAACAGGTTAAGTAACTTGCTCAAGGTCACACAACCAGCTAGGAAGTAGCAAGGCTTAGGATCTAACTCCTAAAGCCCATCTTCTCTCTCTACTACACGGACCCAGCCACGATCATGTGTATGTTTTTGTTGTTAAGTGCCGTTAGTTGATTTTCAAGTCATAGCGATCCCACTGACACAACAGAACTGCCCAATAGGGTTTCCTGGGCTGTAATCTTTATGGGAACAGATCACCAGCTCTTTTCTCTCACAGAGGTGCTGGGTGGGTCTGAACCGCCAACCTATGGGTTAGCAGCTGAGTGCTTAACCGTTGCACCACCAGGGCTCCTTTTGACTATGTGTATATCCAGATCTAAAATAGACATCATCCATGTACACGTAGATGGACACGCTCACACACACTCTTCTCCCTCCCTAAAGATAGACAGAGATACACGGGAATTCCAATTCCTTCCCCTTTTATCTGGTGATGCAATGGTTAAAGCACACGGCTGCTAACCAAAAGCTGGCAATTCGAAGCCACCAGCCACTCTACGGGAGAAAGATGAGCCAGTCTGTTCCGTAAAGATTCACAGCCTTGGAAACCCTATGGGGCAGTTTTATTCTGTCCTGTAGGGTCACTATGAGGAGGAACAGACTCAATGGCAGTGGGTTTGGCTTTGGGTTTTAGGTAAAGATTCAGAAAACACGTCAGGGAAGCATCCCTAAATGAGAGCAATGCCAGATTTTCTCACAAGAAAGCATTTTACATCGCCACAGGGACGGAGTCAACAATACTAGTAACAAATGCTTTCAGTTAGCTGTCAGCCAGATCAAACGTTTGGTTTGTCTGGAAAGAGCTATCGTTTCCCTCCAGTTACATCCTTGTATTGTGTTCTGCTGCTGCTTTTAAATAAGCGCAAAGAAGGAAAGAGAAGGAGGGAGGGAGGGAGGAAAGACCAGAAAGGAGGAAGACCAGAAAGGAGAATTAACTGACTCCTTAACATCCAGCTACTTGAATAGATACCAAACAAACACACAAACACCCACTGCCACCAAGTTAATTATCCAACTCATAGTGACTCCCATTGGGTTTCTGAGGCGGTAAATCTTTACAGAAGTAGACTGTGTGGGCTTCCTTTCACGGAGTGACTGGTGGGTATGACCCACCAACCTTCTGGTTGGCAGTCAGATGCCTTTGGCACTGTGCTACCATAGCTCCTTACCTGAATAGATAAACTAGGTTAAATCTAAAGCCACTCATTGCAATTGACAAAGAGGTCACTGGGCCATTAGGTAACCGGTTCAAATAGCAAACATTTTCATGCTGCATCTGAAAGTATCTTTGCCACCCAGGGCTACTACACGGAGGTCCCAGAGGTATTCCCAATGGCTAGGGTACTAAGTGAATCTCAAAGGGGGATTGTTTTCATTATTGAAAGAGGGGCAGAGTTCCAAGGTGTTGGGATTAGAAGGTGTCTTCCCTCAGCAGGGAACCCCTGGGTAGTGCAAATGGCTAACATGCTTGGTTGCTAACGGACACCCAGAGGTGTCTCGGAAGAAAGGTCCGGCGACCTCCTTCTGAAAAGTCTCAGCCATGGAAACCCCAGGGAGCACACTGCTACTCTGACACTCATGGGGTCGCCATGAGTCAAGGTCAACACAAAGGCAGCTGGTTTGCTCAGCAGAGCTCTCCTAATCCACCAACAGAGACTGGAAGATTGGAAAGTTCTTCAGGAACGCACCCTCCAATTCTTGTGCTGTTCACTCTGTCTACTCCTTTCCCTGTGGAATTTATAACCTGCTCTTGACTGTCTCTCTAGAATCAAAATAGATAAATTTACAATCTAACTTGTCTTTCTATCAAGGCAGTGTCATGGGACTGGATGTCATTCTAGAAAATTACACACACACACACACACACCCCCCGAAACTCACTGCCACAAGTCGATTCTGACTCATAGCAATCCCCATTGGGTTTCTGAGGCTGTTAACTCTTTACAGAAGTAGATCACCCATCTTCCTTCTGCAGAGTGGCTGGTGGTTTTGAGCCACTGACCTTCTGGTTAGCAGTCAAATAAATGCCTTATCCACTACACTGCCAGAAAGTTGCACAGGTGGTATAAATTTCTAGTTTCATAACCAGGCAGAGCATTTGAGAATACCTCTCCCTTTAGAACCTCTCCTCCAAAGACATATGAGGGTCAAACAGAATCAAATAATAATCCTAACGACAATTTTTAAAAAATACTAAGGTAGAAACAGGAACGTTTTCAAAGCTGCAATAATTCAAACTAAAGCAGGCGTGTGAAAAAAGTCCCTGTCAACATCTTATTTCTAACTTGGAGACAAACCTTGTTGGAAAGAGAACTAGATACTTCTGACTAAGAGTTATGGTTCTAAGAGCCTCGAGATCAGAACACTCTCTCAATTTGGCAGCTTTCTTTTCAGTATAAGCAGCTGGAGTCCAGCTGTAACTTACCGGTCTATAGCAACAGCTACTCCAGGAAAAGATGGGCTTTTGTTTTGAAGTCTCACTTGGAACAGAGGCAGAGAGGATAAGGGAGATAATGGCTTTTAAACTCAGAGAGTGAGCAAGCTGTAAGGAGGTCTTATTCTGTTAGTGTTTATTTCTTGGAGCAAATTTCCAATCCTTCTCCCAAGCCCCCTGTTGAAACCAGGGACAAACAGATGAGAGGGAGAAAGCAGAGAAGGGGAACAAAAGAATTTAAAACTCGAGAGTCTTAACTCTCAAGAACACAAACAGGATGATGCAGCTGTATGTCCGATTTCATGTCCCTGGATGTTGGGAGGAGTGTTAAGAAGGATAAGAACAACAAAGACCTGGTTTTAAAGAGTAAACTAAATCAAGTCCACACAAAGTCTGACATCTGAAAAACCACATCATGGGGCTTGGGGCCACAACAGTATTTCCTGCAGAGGCACATTTCTCAGCTTGACAGCAAGGCTTCTCTATTTCATATGTTGGCTCTGGTATGACCCACTTGCCAGTCTGTTGTGAAGTCTTTAGAAGGGTCGAGGAGCAGAGGGAGGCAGAAAAAGAGAACTGGTTATTTAGCCCATCCCACCCTACCTGATTCCACCTAAACAAGTTCCTGACAGTATATGGAAGGCTTTCTTGTTTGACTGTCTCTACAACCTTCTGTTCATTTTCAGGTCTACCCAAGCTTACAAGCAAATCTGACAACTAAAATTTTCGTAAGACAAAGAAAAATTAGTCCCTTATCTGTGTGAGGTACACATTCCAAGACCCCCAGTGGTTGCCTGAAACCATGGATAGTACCAAACCCTAATATGTTCTATGTTTTTCCTACACATACCTATACCTATGATAGAGTTTAATTTATACATCAAAGTATGAGATTAACAATAACTAATAAACTAGAACAATTATTAAGTAAAATAAGGATTACTATGGACAAGGGGGACTACTGTATACATTTCAGGTAATTGTTTCTTTATTTATTTTGACCCGTGCAACAGGAGAAGTCGTTCAGAGTACAAATGCATGTGATTAATAGGGCAGGCATGTGTGCTTATAAAGGGCAAAAGAACATGAGGACTGTCTGTTGGCTGGATCCCACCGTGTGATGGATCAAAAGACCTTTCTTGATACGTTTTCTCCTGTATCTTCTTAACAACCTTGGTGCAAATATCTCAGCCTCCTTGTAATGGTCTTTTAAAAAACAGCCTCATTTAAGATTTACTGAAAGTTATGGATCTTGTACTGGAAACACACACACACACACACACACACACACACTTACGTGCAACTTTAGGGAATTCATAGGTCTACTGGAATCCATACATAAAACCTCCTCAAGAGCCCATGGACCTAAAGTTTAAAACCTCTTGTCTAGATAGGAAAGTAGTTAATATTTATTAAGTATTTACTATATGACAGGCACTATTTTAAGAGTTTTAAATAGATTTTCTCAGTCATAATAACAAACCTATCAGGGTAAGTACTATTGTTCTCTATTTTCCTTATGAGAAAACAGTGGCAGAGACTGTAACTTGCTACATGTCAACCAGCCAGTACGGGGTAGAGCCATGATTCAAACCCAGACAGTCTGGCTCCGAAACGCCTTCTTTTAGCCACCAAGTAACAGCTATGAAAATGTACAGATTTTTTATTTTACATGGTTACATGGACCATGATCACAGCACCTTTCTTTCTAGGGGAAGGGGGATAATTTGCATCTCCAGAGGTAAGAGAAGACAGAGACTATGTGACACTGGGTGGAGGAGAGATACTTGGCCAAGGAGTTCACACCCACTACTAACTACTGTTTATGACACAGAACAAAAGCTACTCAGACCCTCTGTTTGGCTTTCAGTAACAGCCTTATGGCAGTGGTGTTAGCTCCTGAGCTGAGTTATTGATCTAGTACAGTAGTCGAGATTAGTTCCAGGGTCACAAGCTTAAATATCTACAGGAACCAGAGAAGTAATGAAAATGTGAGACAAAGGCTGGTACAAGGCAGTAGGAGGTGATGGGGACAATGACCAACTAGAGAGTATATGCCCTGTTTCAACACATTCACATTTAACTAGAAAAACCCATGAGGGTCAAACAAAGGATATATTCAGCTTGTAGGTCATCAGTGCACAACCTTTATGTAGACTGTTCCCTTCCCACTCTCAGTATTTTTAAGTCAGGAGACAGGAACATAATTTATAAGCCAGCTCATGTGACAACCAATATGGTAACTTCTGTTTAATTAAAACCATACTTTCACATGTTAACCAACTGAGCAGGTAGGTCACTGACAGAAGGGACCAGACATTAGGGAAGAGGAAACATCAGGCAGTTAAGTGATAGCACACAGCACATACCTCATACATAGTGAGCATTCAAGGTCAGATGCGTCAAAGGATGCGAATGGAATACTGAGAGCAGGTTTGGACCCCTTATCAGTGGCAGGATCTGTGATTTAGAAAGCAGTGAGTCAGAGCTGGACCAACCTTGGTTTTCATAGACAGTACTTCGGAGGCAAAGGGGACCCAATTATTTTTTTACTTTGTCACTTCTAGCCACCTCCCAGAAAGTTCATTCAGTGGCCACCTGGGCTACTGAGAATGGGATAACCTAAAGCAGGCACTCATGGGGTTCTAACAGCTTGGAGCATTGCCCTATATAGAGATGCAAGTCAGGGAATGTCCAAGAGCCCTGGGACGACATCACTCCCAGCACCCACTCAGCCAAGCAGCAGCAATGGCAGCAGCAGCAACTCCATGAATTGAGCTAGGCCTTCAAAACAGAGACTGAATCTTGGCACTGCCCACCTCTCTTGGAAACACATCAAGCTGCAGCTGCTGCTTCTCAGACGCTTACCTAGGGAACATGACTGGGAACGAGTTGGGTAAGGCCTGATCCTACTTTCCTGGTCCTACATTTCTGGATGGAAGTAGAGGGTAGGTTGGCCTGGAAGGAAGTCACACCATCAAGGGCATAGGTTGTCATGACTTGACACCATGTTTGACTGTATGCCTTGGTTTTCTATTTACAATTACTACTGAACACTTCCAGTGTTCTAGACACTAGGCATTATCACACAGAGCAACCCTATGAGGTCACCAGCTGACAAGTGCCAGAGCTGGATCACACACCCAGAGCCTGAGGAGCCCCCCTACAGAGGATAAGTAATTTGCATACGTTGATGAGTCCAGGCATCTCCTTCAAACTCCTTTCCCCCTGGATATAGTACCTTGCTTGGAGGCTTTATGAGACTTCTCCAGGCCTTGGGGTTCAATTTGGCAATGTTTCCTTTTCTTTTGCTGGCATTTTCCAGGCTTGGTGGAAGCAGCCTCTGGAGAAGCCACGTCCCTCTTCTCCTCTCCTTTTTCCTGGTCTTGTTGACCAGCTACCTTTACTTTAGTTGGGGTGGCGCCTTCTTCCTCCTGACTAGAACAATGAGGGAGTGCCTGATTTTCCTGGAGGAAGGAAGAACCAAACATCAGAATCCACTTAGGACCAATATTGTCCTGTGATATTCCTACCCTCAGGGGACAAAGAGAACAACTGCATAGCCCTGATCCCCACCCCTGATGATTTAGAGGACACATTGCTAAACCAAGGCAGTCATAAGGCGTATTTCCCATTTCCTGTTCCACACAGCATCTGCAACAAAGGCAGGACCAGCCTGGGGGGAAGTGGGGGAACCTCCCTATGCAAGGATATAAAGGGGTGTGTGTGTGGGTGTGTGTGTGTGAGTGTCGGTGAGGGGGAATCCTTGGGGAGTGGTGAAGGGAAGATATGCAAGGTATAGCACCAGTCCCCCTCCAGTCCAAATCATTTTCTAGTTACAGTATGAGGGAAACCAGGGCATGCAGTGAAGGTAGAGCCTGTCAGTCAATGCTTCCTCCCGCCCTCACTGCCATTCCAGGCCATCTGCAATCCCCAAGCCTCAACTCCCCAAGGACTTTGGTGAGTTTTTGGCAAAGGTTTGCTCATAGCCCTGCAAAGTTATCTCGTGCCCCAGACCTATATGTTCTACTTGTCAAATGAACTAGGGAGAAACAATTCCTTTCACTGAATTTTAGGTGAAAAGTCTGAAAGAGAGGCAAAATCATTTGGCAAAGCAGTCAATAATGTCTCTAGCCTTTTAAAGAACTTTTGCCCAAGAAAGGGACATTTGGAAATGGATCTAGAAAAAACCCAATGACAACATGTTTATGTAGATTTACCTGTTGAAACCCCTCTCTAATATAAACTCATTGTCCACAGGTCCAAATGTTCATGTCCCTCTAGCCTTTACCATAAAGAGAAAAAAAAAACAAACCTTGCTAGATAGACTTGGAAGAAAATAATGAAGTGAGGAGAAAAAAGATGTGGGTTTTCTCAGTCTCTGACCTGCGGAGCTCAGGGTTTCCTTAGCATCATAGCAGTACTAGGAGCCCTGGCGGTGCAACAGTTAAGTGCTCAGTTGCTAAGCAAAACATTTGGTTGTTTGAACTCACCCAGTGGCTCTGTGGCAGAAAGGCCTGGTGACCTGCTCCTGTAAAGATTCCAATGGCCCAGAAAACCCTCTGAGGCAGTTGTACTCTGCCACATGAGGTCACTGGGAGTTGGCATCAATTTGACAGCACCTAACAATAGCAATACTACAATCTCAACTTGCCCTGAACCAGGATTGTCCATGCAGGAGTGCACTGCTTTGCAAAGCAAAATTTGCGTGGAAATTCAGTCCGTTTCCCAGCTAACTCAAATTGGAATGTAAAAAAACACAGTTGCCATCAAGTTGTTTCCAACACACGATGACAACCTCATGTGTGTCAGAGCAGAACTGCTGCTTTGGAAGTAGATCACCAGGCCTTTCTTCCAAGGCGCTTCGGGGTGGACTCCAGCCTCCAACCTTTCAGTCAGCAGCCAAGCAGGTTCACTGTTCACACCACCCAGGGACCTCTTGGAATGCAAAGGGTTCTACTGTTCTTCATTTTAGAGGGAGCTGTGATTAGAAGTCACTCCAAGCACTTCAGCTCAGTATTAGTTACCAATCATGTAATGACAACCTCAAACAATTACTGAAATGCACTAGGGGTTCTCTCACTTTAGGAGATAAGAGTTCTGCCTCTTTTTTTTTTTTTTTTTTTTTTTAAGTTGGGCATACCTGCATTTTATTCCTTCTCCAGAACAGGGAGAAAAGCTGGGAAAATGTAAGGTTTCCACCTGTCAGAGCATCCAAGAAGCCAGTGAGGGCCCAGTGCTTAATTATAGGGGAAGAACAGAGGCACCAAATAAATGGAGGGGAAACTGCACCCCCAGGTACTCAGCACTGAACTCTGCCTTCACATCTGGCCTTCTGAGCCCTGATTTCTGCCCACTTATCCGCTGCTGGGAAAGCCTGGGCTTGGAGCCCATCGCTCTGGGGTTCTGTTTCTTTGTTTGTGAGAAAGGCACAAATACCCTTCTGCCTCCCATGAACTTCAACTCAACACCGTTCCCAAAGCTCTTCCATCTTCTCTACTACTACAAATATGTATTAGAAACCCACTTATGTGTAAGGCACAGTGCAGGAAAATGATTGCCTCTACTTGGGAATCAAATGGCATTGTCTTTGCACAGGATCTTACCTGATGCTAACAGGCCAGCAGCTTAACAAACAAAAAGCAGTCAAGGAGGGGGTGGAAAACCCCACCCCAGTTGTATGGCTTCAAGGGAAGGGGGTCAATCTCTTTCTTGGCTAAATCTGACCAAGAATTTAAAAATAAGATAAAATGAATGAACAAACCCTGGGGCCATGCCTGAAAGTGAGTTTTAGCTTGAAGCAGTAGCCTTCTTGGCAAAGAACACCAACCACTAGTGTTTCCATTTCATCTTTGTTGAGAACTAGAGGAGGAGAGCTAGGGATCACTCCCCATGTTTACCCACAAAACAGCCAAACGAAGCACCACGAGCGAGCTGGATGAGTTGTTTTTACCTGTGACAACTTTGGTAGATTGTGGCTGGTGCCTTCAGTAGCCACTGACTCTACGTGTTCCTTAAATCTAGGGTGAGATGCCAACAGCTTCAGGATATCGGGAATATGTTCCTGAGACTCTCCCGAGACTGATGGTGGAAAGAAACTAAGGAGAAGCTGTGACATAAAACAGAAGACTTCACTACTTAAGTTTCTACAGGTGCTCAGGTGAAGAAGAGGGGAAGGAAAGGGCAGGGAGCACAGCTCCAAGGGTAAAACTTCAGGGAGGAAGTCTGGGACCACAGCCCCCTGACACACCCAGGCACAGGTCCTCATACTTCCTTGTACATCAGACTCGCCTGGGGAGCTTGAGGATTCCAGGTTCCCAGTTCCCACTCCCATCTCCTGTGGGGCCCAGGAATATGGATTTTCAAAAGGCACGAGAGATGCCTGTTTAAGAATCTCTGGTGCTAGAAACATCGGCAGTGAGATTTGGGAGAAACGAGATGGATGAAATCAGTTGGAAAACCTGAAGTCATGTTTATAACACTCCAATGGGGAGCTCTGGTAGCATAGTGCCTAAGGCGCTTGACAGCTAACCAGAAGGCTGGCGGTTCAAACCCACCAGCCACTCCTCGGAAGCAAGA